CAAAGCATCAAGGGCGCAAGAACAGAAGTATTCCTATGTACTTAGTACAGTCTACATAAAGTAAGCAATATGTGTACAAGCATGTACAAGATAGACCTATAATCGGACCAATCGGATAGTGTCCTTGAGTAGAGAGCAGCTTGACCGGCTTCCCGAAGCATGGGTCTGACGTCATAGAGTCCTTAACGTGGAGGCCGCTTGAGCATCATCACATGCACTGCATGAGGGCGGATCAATGACAGGGTGCCAAATTCAAAGAAACCGCATCATTCCTATAAGCCACACGGTGACAAAGGCACCCATGCCATCTCAGACATTTATCCTGCTCGGCAGGCTGCCATGTCATGACTTTGTCCCTGTGAATGAGTGCAGCTTAGCTCATTTCGTTGAAATAGATTGAAAGATCAATCACCGAAAGCGCTCACTGAAAACATCCACGGACATACAAGTGAACGGCCGGTTTTTGTGTGCTGATAATTCCGATATCGGAAATATCGTGATGGACCTGCAAACACCCTTGAAGTCTTCCATAGGCCCTGCAGTTAACGTCGAATCGAGAGTACCTCGCGCTCATCGCCAGAAGGTTTCAGAATTCGTTGCCCGTCTCTTGAGCTTGCTTAAAAGTAGAAATTCCAGGGCACCAAGTTTGTGATGCAGAGTATCCACTTGCCCCTATCCTCTATTGAGCAATACTCAATAGCCTAATGAATGCATGCACCCACGAAGGGTACTACAAGAAAGCGTAGCAGGCTCAGGAGTGTGCGTCTGATTCGAAAATTCGAGGAGCATAGGCTAGGGTTCATACTTCAGGTCCTTTCAGACTGGAGCTGATTCCGCCAAATGATGCAGAAATTCTCGTCCAGCTCGTCCTATTCTCGATCGATCATCCAACTGCTTCCGTTTAACCACGTATATCTCTCCACTCTGCGAGGTTTCAAGACTGCAATCTAATTCACATATTTGCAAGCGCTGAACTAAACATTTAAGCGGGGTGTTTGCGCGTAGGGCATCTCAACGTCCTCGAAAATGCGCCGGTGGCTTATCCATTTCAGTTCATCCGAGTGCCACAGACGTGCCTTTGTGAGTCCGCAACTTGCGAAAAGTATACAGTAGATACCAATATTGAGACTTTTCAGTGGCCTTAAGGGTTGTTCGCCTATCACTGCTGGTGACATAGTCACTGTCAGCACTGCGCCCATTCAATCTGAGGCGACTGGTCAGGTAGGCGGTGGCCTCTTTCTGGCGGTAGGGGAGAAATTGAGGCTGACTCTCAGCGCATTTCTTTCCTCATTATAAAATGCTGGTGCGTTTGGAACTATCGCGGTGCGCCAAGAGCCGTGGCTTGGAGGGTTGCCAACTGACGGGATAACTTTGACACTGCAGTCAGCCCAGTGTATGTCTTG